AAAAAAAAAAAAGAGTTTTTGGGAGGTGTAACAGCTATGGAGATTGCTGTAAGCCATTAATAGTTATTTTTTATATATTAAGAAGGGGGACCTGTGGGAGCCCGTTTTCGGGTTCCTTGTGGCGTTACCCAGCAGGTCCACATAGAGGATGATCAGCACCATGGGCCTGAGTGCAGGTGTCTGAGATGGTCTGCACTTGGCTGTGCTGGGGGAGGAGGTCTTTTGCTCCACCCCTTGGCGGCTCTATAAATACCCTGAGGCAGAGACAGTCGGGCCCGTTGGAATAGGTTCCAGGCCCTCTCGAGGCTATCCTTTATTTTCTATTTGTTTATCTCTGCAAGATTCTCCGCAATAAATCCTTCTATCTAATATTTCCTGCTGCTCACACTCAAGAAAACTCTGGGGAGCTGTGGGGTTGGTGGGTAAATGCCCCACAGTGTATAAGTGCATAAAATATGTTCAGTGCAGTGTCAGATCCAATGTGAATGCCTCAGATTCAGTTCTGAATGTCCATTCTAACTGTACAGAAGTTCATGGTCTCTGTAGTGTAACAGGCTTTCTCAGGCCACCAACCAGCTCCCATATTATGACACAGAGACTTATTATTAGGCTTGTTTCTTGCCAGCTCTTATAACTTAATCTGTTTCTCTTCATCTATGTTTTGCCTCACCATTCTTTTTTTCTGTATAACTTGCTTTCCTGCTGTCTCCATGGCTGCCTGGCTTCTGGCCCCAAAATCTTCCTCTCTGCTTTGTTCGCTTTTCCTTTTCCTATAGTCCAGGTTTCTCCCCCCACTCATTCTCTCTGCCTGCCAGCCTCACCTATCCCTCTCCTGCCTAGCTATTGGCTGTTCAGTTTTTTATTAGCCAGTTTGAGTGCCTTAGGCAGGCAAGGTGAAGCAAATTCAACACATCTTTACATCCTTAACCAAGGAAGCAGTAACAAATGTAACACACCTTTACACAGTAAAATACTATTCCACGAAAAGAAGAAATAATAATCCACAGCATAAACAAATGAAAGTCATCTTCAGAGTAAAAAATATTTCACAACACTGTAATTTCCAGGTCTTGTTAATTTTCACATGTAATTTTTTTTTTTACTTTTAAAATAATGGAGCTTAAAATTAAAGAGAAATGAGGGATGTCAAGTGAGATTATGAGTCTCTGCTCTACTGCTTAATCCTGGGGAATATATGATTCTGCTATACTATTTACTCCTGAATGTGTCTGTCTCTGCTATACTACCTATTCCTGATAGTGTGAGCCTTTGCTCTATTATTTACTCCTGAGCTTGGGAGTGTCTGCTAAAATGTTTACTCCTTAGAGTGTCTTTGTTATATTTCTCACATAAGCTGGTCCCTGGAGCCTTCCCCCACAGAAAGAAATCATTCTTTTGTAGAAGAAATGTATATCCATTAAGGTCATTTCCATTCATAAGGAAATATCCTTCTTGTGTTCTGAGTAAATTAATAACTATGTCTACAGAGACTCCAAGGAGGAAGAAAACATTGACTCACATATACCTAGCAAACCCAACTTTTGTTCAAGGTGTATTACTAACCACATTTTTAAAAAACTGAACCATCCAATACAGCAGCCTCTCTCTGTTATATCTATGATGGAAATTAAAGCCAGAAAAAGAGTCTCTTTGCCATGTAATCTAAAGGCTTATTTATTTCTGTTTCCTCTAATGTGCATTTGTTTACATATTAAAAAATGTTTTTAATGAAACTCAATGATAGATGTGTTGTGCTGTCTTCATTTGACTGTTACTCTCCTTCCCTAACTTTAGTAATGATGGATAACCAGGAACAACACCAGCTGTGATCACTATGGATGTAGGAGGAGGGTGAAGGAGGGTGGGGAGGCCACTGTTCACCATTCCTCTGTTGTGCTCATGGCAAAGTCAAGTGGAAGATACGAGGTGAGTCTGGCCACATCTCAGCTCTGCAAAGCCATCCCTGTCTCTTCCCGGAGGTTACAATGATGCAGGGCTCCTTAGCCCTCAGCCGCTGAGCCATTCTGGGAATCCACTCACTTGATCCCACATGGTACCTTCCCAGTAGGAGGCTGACCTTCGGTAAATTTTATGACAGCCAGATTCATTGGTTGTAATCACTGCCAAAACACGTCAAGTTTGGACATATCCAAAACTAACAAGGTTTAAATGGTATTTATTTTGGGAGAATTTAATGTTTTATTCAAATCTCCACATTCCTTCACCTATTGCTTTTTACCCTTAAAAACACTTTACTCTCCAAATTTGGTGGGCTTTTTATTTATTATTTCTTCATTCCACTTAGTGCTCCCTCCACCTGTAGGGGTGTAGGACAGTTGAGTGGAACCGGAAAGACTCTCAGAATGACTGTCTCCCTCAGGAGCCATCAATTACCAAAAGCTCCTCTTGGGGTTTAGTCTGTGTAAGTGTTGTCCAGGTAGTAGCAGCCACAGCGTGTTCATGCATGAAATGGTGCTGACATTTCTATCAATGTTCACTGTTCTGGAAATGTTTCAACATTCCTACTGTAACATTGCCGACATCTACCGTATCTGGCTCTGACAGTCTTTCTCTTTTCCCTCAGGAATCCCTGACTTTTGGCTTTAGATGTACATTAGGGACCTCTTTTACAATGTGTGACACAGGTGTCACATTTAGATCAGGGCCCTCCACAGGCTAATATTCTCTATACTTCCACCAATGTGCATCTGTGTATTATTCTCCATTCACCACATAATTAATATTTTCTAGTGGTGTTGACTTTGTGGGTATAAATATGAGAACTTGGGCTCATTTAGTTAGGATCCACTTATTTGAATAACAGCTTCAATTCTCCCTAGGGCTTATCACCCAGCTACACAAAAGTATATCTTCAAATTAACATCGCACCAACTACCATTTGTGGAGTATGCTTTAAATCCAATCATAAAGTAATTGGTTCCTCTCATAACTTCCCTGTCATTATTGCTCTACGGGCACTGTTGTTTTTTATGAGCTGCACCTGATGCCATCTCTGCCTCAGCTGATGACTGCGTCTCTGCAGCTGCAGCTGCTGCCTTGATGCTGCGGCCTTAGACTAGAAGGGCTCTCTCAAAGTTTTAACTAAGTCATTATCCTTCTATTTTACCAATAAGGATTCTGGAACCAGATACTGGGTGAAAACCTGCTAGTTCAGAGAGACAGAGATTCTTACACACCAAGGGGAGATATTACAGGAGCTTGGATGACTCCACTGGGAAAAACAACAGTAACTATGCCACAGCCCAGATCTCAGATTCCAGGAACCCAGTGGAGAAAGTTAACGTGGTGAAAATTTCATGGAACATTTATGGTTGCAGAATAAAGAAACTCATTAATCAAGGCAAGTTTCAAACGCATTGCTAGAACAAACTGTTGGATGTTACAGCAAAGAGAAGTCTCTGCTCTTTTTTGATGACATTCTTAGTGTTTGTGCTATTGTAAGTTAGAGGTTCCTGTTGACATTCAAAATAATTAACTTAATATTCTCCACTATGGATTCCTTTGAGTTGAATAAGATCTTAATTATTAGTAAAGATTTTACCACACTTCACACACTCATGGAGTTTACAGTCAGAATGAATCATTTAATGTGTTTTAAGGGTTGAAGAGATAAAAATTTAAGAACGTTTGTAGGATTTCTCTCCTGTATGAACTATATCATATGTTGAGTAAGGATACAAAAATTAGCAGTCTTTATCACATTACCCACACTTTTAGAGATTCTCTTCAGAATTTTCTTTTTTCCTTTTTATGTCATCTAAGGGATGAAGATGAGGAAAAACATCATCACACTCTTCACACTTGTATAGTTTCTCTCCAGTATGAACTCTATTGTGTTTCCTAAGGCCTGAGTGGTAACGAAAAGCTTTGTGACATTCCTCACATTTGTATAGTTTCTCTCCAGTATGAACTGTTTGATGTTCTTGAAGACTCCTAGAATAGGAAAACCGTTTGCCACATTGTAAACATGTATAAGGATTATCTTCAGAATGGATTATTTGATGTCTTCTAAGGGATAAAGATGAGTAAAAACATCTGCCACACTCTTCACACTTGTAGGGATTGTCTTCACAGTGAATTGTTTTTTGATGTCGTCTAAGGGATGAAGATAAGGAAAAGCACTTACCACACTCCTCACACTTGTAAGATTTCTCTCCAGTGTGAACTGTCTGATGCTGTTTGAGGTGTACAAAGTAAGAAAACCTTTTGCCACACTCTTCACACTTGTAGGGATTGTCTTCAGAATGGATTGTTTGATGTCCTCTAAGAGATGAAGATGAACAAAAGCACTTGCCACACTCTTCACACCTGTAGGGTTTCTCTGCAGTATGAATTCGTTGATGTACCTGAAGGAATGATGATTCATAAAAAGCTTTGCCACATTCTTCACACTTGTAGGGTTTCTCTCCACAATGAATCCTTTGATGTTGTTTCAGGAATGAAGGATCATAAAAAGCTTTGCCACATTTTTCACACTTGTAGGGTTTCTCTCCAGAATGAATTCTTTGATGTTGCTTCAGCATTGAAGGATAGTAAAATGATTTACCACATTCTTCACACTTGTAAGATTTTTCATCAGTATGATTTTTCTGGTGTATAAAAAGTGATGCACGAGTATTGAAGGCCTTATGACATTCTTTACATGTGTAGGATTTTTCTCCAGTATGAAGTCTCTTGTGTATGGAAAGTGTTTTATGAGAACTAAGACCCTTACCACACTCTTCACACTTGTAGGGTTTCTCCCTTGTATGAATTCTCTGGTGTGGAATATACAGTGATTTACAATCAATGGCCTTCTTGTAAATGTTATAATCATTGGGTGTTGTTCCTGTTGAGTAAAAGTTGAGATATGAACAAAGGTTAGGAAATATTCTTCATACTTACAATACTTATCTTTTATTTATTTATTTATTTATTTATTTATTTATTTATTTATTTATTTATTTATTTATTTATTTTGGTTTTTCAAGACAGGGTTTCTCTGTGTAGCTTTGTGCCTTTCCTGGAGCTCATTTGGTAGCCCAGGCTGGCCTCGAACTCACAGAGATCCGCCTGGCTCTACCTCCCAAGTGCTGGGATTAAAGGCGTGCGCCACCACCGCCTGGCAATACTTATCTTTTAAAAAGAAAACACTTACTCATACATATTGAAGTATCAGTGAGAAACTACAGTATATTTCAAACCCTACAGACACTGAGCATGAATGATAAAATATTGTAGGTAGAAATAATGTATACTTCTACTAGAATAAGTATACAACCAAATAGAACATAGATATAATAGCATATTATTCAAAGTTTAATAGCTAAGTAAGTTATAAGGGCACTTTACAAATAGAAATAAACCCATTAAACAAGAGATGTTATATAGGCAGACACCCCTAAAATTATAAAGTAACCAAGCCTAGAAAAGAGAAAGTTAATTGTGAATGTGTGAATTTGAGTCATCATCTAAGTACAAAATGTTTTATCCTCCACATAGAGTTTTATTTTGGAAAGTACAAAAGATATGCTGCACAAGAAGTAGATGGTCCACAAAAAAGATTAAATTTATAGCTCAAAAATTCAGTACAGTGTTTTATGTTTTATTTAGATGACAAGAAAATATATACCTGAAACATATGTAGTCATGTTTAAAAAAAAAACAACTTCAAATTCACCTGTGCATTACACAAATTTTGCTGAGAAACGTTTGTCAGTGAATAGATGACAAAACGACTGATTTCCTTTTTGGTTTGTTTTTGCTTTTTCAAGACAAGGTTTCTCTGTATAGACCCTGCTGTCCTGGAACTCACTATCTAGACCAGACTGTCCTCAAACTTAGAGACCCATCTCCCTCTGCCTCCCCAGTGCTGGGATCAGTGAAGTAGATCAGTAGACCACCATTTCCAGACAATAAAATTATGTATTTCTAAGACTAAACAGGTATTGAGCACTACATAGACAGTGAACAGGGCATAAAAACAAGAAGCTTATGTTTTCCCATCAAGTAGAAATTCACAGAGCAGAGCTTGTAGATATTCTGTAATCTTACACTGTCCTTATGTACTTTACCAATGTGTTCTATCTATCCACCAAAATATATAGGGAATGTATAACCAAGGATTATAGGTTATATACACCTCCAAAATAATATCAAATTGCAGAGTAAAGAAAAAAATTTTGAACCCATAAAACTTTGAAAACTTAGTGGTGAGCTATTAAGTGCATACTCCTAGTTACAGAGAGTTTTAATCTTTGAATATATATATGAATATCAAAGGGTATGCATTTTAAATCTTTATTACTGAGTGCGTGATAAAGAAAAACTTTAGAAGATATCTTCATCAAAAACAAACAATGCTGATGGGGTCCCTTTCCTCAACATGTGTGTAAGTGACATGAAAGAACTCATGTGTGAAGTTAGGTTCATACAATGGTCTCACACCTAGGTATTTAGAAATGTGTGCAATTTTCAGATGTGTAGAAAATAGTACAGAGTCTGTTACTGAACTATTCAAAGTAACTCTATTTTTCCTGAGTTTAACCAACTGATTCCCCAACTGAACAATCCTACTCTTAAAATGTTCTCACACAGCCTCACTGGCAGGTTTGGAAGATCCACAGTTTTACAACATAAAACAAATTGTGTCAATCAATGGAACTAACCATTTTGGATTTTAGGCCCCTGGCCTGTGTGTGGTTTGATGTAACTGTGGGTTTGGCTTTATAAAGCCAATTAAACTCGGGTTGGAGAGTGTGGGAATGACCACTGCATTTCCTGACACAAAACCCAACACTGTCCTTCTGGTCCTCCAATGGGGTAGGTGTGGGTATTTTTGTCTGGTCCAGATTCTGGTAAAAAACCTGACAGGGACTCCTTTCCTGGGGCTATTTCTTTTCTTTTCTTTCTTTCTTTTTTCTTTTCTTTTTTTTTTTTTTTGGTTTTTTAAGACAGGGTTTCTCTGTGTAGCTTTCGTGCTTCTCCTGGATCTCGTTCTGTAGACCAGGCTGGCCTCGAACTCACAGAGATCCACCTGGCTCTGCCTCCCGAGGGCCTACTTCTAAGAGTAAAGATGTTTACTAAAGAGGTAATAGATACATTTTCAATTGAATCCACACCGTATGTCATTTCTGTGGATGCTGAAGGAGTGACTGTATCGTCCACTCCATCTGTTCTCTCTGCTGTTGTTCTGGACCTTACACTTTGTCACCTTTCCTGACCCTCCTTGTGGAACAGAGGGTCAGCCACTCTCTGAGCTCACTGTGGATTCAAGGCTACTGGACGCTGTGGGGTTCCTCTGTCCTCCTGCCTGTCCTCCATGGGCAGTGCCAACGTCCTCTCTGAGGCTGTGTTAGTGGGTCTGGGAAACTCCATGTCTATTTCTCTTCAACCTGCTCATGCCTGGCACTGAGCTCTCCATTATGGTATTCTCTACGATGATACAAGCTACTTAACATAGAAGGTCTGCAGGATTGATTTACATTTTATACAGTACACTATAAAGGGTTCAAGAGACTGAAGTGCCCAATTCCTGCATGGAATGTATTTATGTTTAAATTTTATTTTGGTATAAAAGAATTTCAATTCAACAATCATAATTTTAGAGTGTGAAATTTTTAACAGATATAAATTACTTCATTTATCAAGTCTTACTGATGAGAGTCACTATTTAATTGTAAGCTGTTACAACAAAGGTAACTAAGACAGAATAGCTAATGATGAGTCACCTAATCAATGGTGGAATATACTTAGTGTGCCCAGAGTTGTGTTCACATTCATGCTAAATACAAATATAATTCATTTACAGACACAATATTAGAGGGAGAGAAAATTTCCTACCTTCCATTATCCAGTCCTCTGTACATGTCATCAAAGTTAAGCCTAAAGCAGGTAACTGAAATGAATTTAAGTTCATCTTCTTTTTTCCTTACTATGGAATAATATTAAAATCAGATGTACTTAAAGTAACTGGCTATTGGGCCAGAAGTGGTGGCATACACCTTTAATCCCAGCACTCAGGAGCAGAGGCAGAAAGATCCTTTTGAGTTTGGTGCCAGCCTGGTCTACAAAACCAGCTCCAGGATAGCCAGGGCTATACAGAAACCCTGTCTTTAAAAAAGCAAAAACAAAAACAACAACAACAAAAAACCCCAGAAAACTGGTCATTAAAATTGAATGCTTGAGTAAAAAGAATTCAATCTACACTACACTTGAATGGCAGGACACAACCAGAATCAAATACCACACTTACCCTCAATGGAACAGAGTCCTACTGAAATTAATGGCATTCTAGTTTCGATACAGGATAAGGATGCATGGGGAATAGGATTTGTCAGTGTCTGCTGCTCCTGTCTCCCTCTGGCCTGTTAGCCAGACCAGGAAATCCTATTCCCTATCTGTAGGGAAGATGAATCACTTCTCATGTTCCACAAGATGGAGTGGATTCTATCACTCTGAGGAGGATCTTAGATTCTGCACCACATTCTCAATGTGCCAAGCAATGGAAACACTCATTGTAATTTTTCTGTACTCCATGTCTCCTGAACTGATAGTTGAGGATCTTATATTCAGGAGAACCTGATACCTATGCCTGCTACCCAAATGGTATGTGAACTTCATGCTAGTTCAAACGGCCATGCCCTGTCCCCTGGCTTTCATTCCTCTTCCTAACAAAGCTAATCCCGGAGCAGAGATGTCAATGCCTGATTGTGTAAGGAGTCCTCAGCAAAGTGGTAGATAATATATGACAGAGGCTCTGCCACGGGTCCAGTCAGCACAGCAGGATGAACTATGGCACTCATTTAAACTAAGTTGCTTGTGCCATGTGTGGACCCACGACATCAGGAAAAGAAAGCAATATGGCCTGAGGAGGAGGTGAGGTGGATGTGAAAGTTCCCCCAGAGCAGTCATTCTGAGTTACCTTCCAGAGACATCTGGGACCAGCTCCTCTGCTGTGGAACAATCTCTTTATACAATATGAATGTGTATTACTCTCATTATTAATAAAAAGCTGATTGGCTGATGGCTAGGCAGGATTTCTGGGCAGGGTGAATGCTGGGAAGAAGGGCAGAGTAAGAGGAGTTGCCAGCAGATGCAGAAACAAGACGAACATACTGTGTTGAAAGAAGTTACCACCATGTGGCAAAGGTTAGATAAGAAATATCGGTTCATTTTGAATATCTTGACTTTAAGAGCTAACGATAAGCCTAAGGTATTGGCTGAGCTTTATAATGAATATTAAGTCTTTGTTTTGGTTATTTTGGAGCAGCTACTGGGACAGGAAAACTCTACCTATAAATGGCATTCGAACCGGGTGCACACCCATCCACATAACACCTGAACGAGCTTAAAAAAGGTTCTAAACAGGCAAAAAGGGAGCCAAATGTGGCTTGCTAGTCTCGAGTTCTCTTGTGGGCTGCAGTACAGAGATGCATCTCCTGGTAGCTGTGTGTAGAGATTTGAACCCCCAGTGTGAGCTCCACAAGCACACTGTGTGATGTGTTTGGGGTTTTGCTCATGCAGACAGAAAAGGTTACAGATGATCAGGGAAGACAGATCCAGATGGAGAAAAAAAATCTCTAAGTAGGTTACAGTGTATTTAAGAATGCTCAAAGGATATTGGGAGAAAAAAAGTAAAAAGGTATAGACAGTCATGAAAATATATACATACTTTTAAATAATAAAGTAAAGGTCCTTAAAAAGGGAGTCAAGTAATATAAAAGAAAAAAGCCACATAAAGATGGGAAATACAGTCTGGATTCTGTATGTTGTTGTGTTGTGTTTGGATGCTTTGATTGCTAATGAAGGATCAGCAGCTGCTAAGACACACTGGATTATGAAAACTTGCTGCTGGATTAAACCAACCTGTATATTTTTAAAATGTCTTGATTTTAAAAAAAAATGTTACTTTGGGAGAGAGGTTATGCTTTTATTTCCACAGGAAATGAGAGGCTGTGGATTCATTCCATGCTGATATGGATCAGGTTTGATTGAGGAAGAAACCCTGAAAAATCCTGGCTACAAACATAAAGAAATAAACCTAGAAAAACTAGAAACGCATGACGTATATTTTACCTGCTCAAATATAAAACAAAAAAGCATCTTTGGCTAACTTGTGTATAACACAGAGTCTATACTTGTATTAACACAGATATGTATGATACCTTTAAAAGTTTATGTATTTTCAGAACAAGGAGACCAGATACCAATAAAAATGGATGGCCCAGATGATTCAAAAATCTCAGTGCACCTCTGTTGCAGTTTCCTCATCTGCATCAAAGACAGTTTCAAGGCTTCTGGCTGAGATGATCCAGCCTCACAGACTACTCCAGCCAAGGCCTAACAACTATTCGGATTTTCTCAAGGTTTCCCCAAAGATACCAGTGCCCACATATAGCAGGAAGTAGTCCAGAGAATGACTCCCACCTTCCTAAGACATGGGTTGTGGGTGTTTATTATCATCTAAGAGGAGTTGGTTATAAGATTTTATTGGTCTCAATTTAAAAAAAAAAAAAGGCTAAACAAAAGAATTAAATTTAAAGATCTCTTTCTAAAGGAAAAAGGGGGATGTGATATAGAAATGATGAGATAAAAGGGTAAATTATTGAATTTACTTTAAGCCAAAAGACAACTATTAATCTCACAATATTTCACATTGGTATAGATTTTGGTTTATTGATATAAATTTGAAGTTAATTTTGTTACACTGTATGTATATTTCTACTCTTGTTTGGGGTATTGTGTTTATGCTGCTCATTTAAAAATTTAATGTGTAATTAAAAATACAGGTTAGTAGTTAGTCACCTATAATAATCAAACTTATAGTCATGTTAGCTATGTTTTCAAGGTCATAAACAGATATATTTAGGTAGATAGTCTTCAAAGACTTCAAAGACCTACAGAAAATGGCATTTGAAATGTTTTAATAACAAGGTTTTCTTGAAAGCAAGACATGTCTGCTCATGACAGCGCCAATTTACTTCACACAAGATGATGGGCACTGAAGAAACTACATATGGGGGTTGCTTTCTTTATGGCAAAAGCTACCTATGTAGACAAAGAAACTGCCCTTGTGGTGATGCTTTGTTTGTGCTTGAACAAATAAAGCTTGCCTGAAGATCAGAGGGCAGAGCTAGCCACTAGTTAACCATAGAGGCCAGGCCGTGGTGGCACACACCTTTAATCCTAGCACTTTGGATGAGGAAACAGGAAGTGATACGGCTGGGAAGAGAGAGGAAGTGATAAGGCCAGCTGAGATAAGAGCTAAGCCCCCTTCAGCCTGAGGATCTGGAAGAAATAAGAAGTCTCTCTAGTGGCTGGCTCCTTTACTTCTCTGATCTTTCGGCATTTACCCCAATATCTGACTTGGATTTTTATTATTAAGACCAATTAGAATTCACCCTGAAGGCCCTTGCCTCGACTGATGACAGTATACTGTCCAAACTGGACCAGCAGGACACAAAAACACTGACTGTCACACTTTCCCAAGACAAGGTCAGACAGTCCTTCAAAATTCACTGCTTCTCAAAAATGTCTGTTAAATATTTTAGGCTTTTTGGCCAAAGAAGATGCCCCAATGTTACAGAAGAACTTTGAGTGACTGTCCAGGATGCCAGATGTCCCTGTCTGGGTAACATTTCACCATGTTGGGGTCTTTGATAGAGTAAAAAACTAAATAATTAGACTTAACGTTTTCCTTAGTTATAATGAAAGGTAAATTAGATATGAAACTTTTGACTCACAAAGATAAAATAGATAATAAAATATATTCTCTAAATTTGCCAAATACAAATGAATATTGTAACTGGATACTGTAGCTATGATGACTACAAGACAAGTGTTTTTGTTATATACAGTTTTATTACAATAAAATTAAAATCTCCCTTTTTATTTAGATAAAAATGGAGAAAAGCTGTGGAATAATCCTTTTGCACACTGTGAAGATGTGTTGCTTTCATTGTTAATAAAAAGCTGATTGGCCTATGGCTAGGGAGGATTTTCTGGGCAGAGAGAATGATGGGAAGAGGAAGGGCATAGGCAGAGAAGAAACCAGCATGCAGGAGAGAAAGATATAAACATGCCATATAGAGAAAAAGTACTGCCACATGAAAGCATATAAATTAGGGATATAGGTGAATTTAAAATGTAAGAGCTATTATTAATTAGCCTGAGCTATCGACTGAGCATTTATAGTTAATATTAAGTCTCTGAGTGGTTATTTGGGAGCTGCTGGCAGACAGAGCTGATCATGGTCCTCACAAAAAAACTCTGCCTACATTCCTCAGCCCTGCTCACATTAAAAATCTGGAAGCCAGGGGCTGGAGAGATGGCTCAGAGGTTAAGAGCACCAACTGCTCTTCCAGGGGTCCTGAGTTCAATTCCCAGCACCCACATGGTGGCTCACAACCATCTGTAATGAGATTTGACACCCTCTTCTGTATACATAATAAATAAATCTCTAAAAAAAAAAATCTGAAAGCCAGTGAAAATATACAGTTGGAGGAAGTTTGAGAATCCACAGAAAACCTTGAGAAGAAGGGACCACAAGATCTCTTCATCCCATTGAACTCATGGTAATATTAGCTATAATGCTTCCTATAGAGCTAGCCACAGTAGCTACCCTCACTGGATCTTAAACAAAACATTTTACTAGCTCTGATATATCTGTGAATATCAGATTTATACATAAAAGTTTCTAATTTCTCTAACAAGTTGTGACTGGGAATATGTTCAAATAACCGTTAGACCTAATATATGATACATATATTAACTTGAAAAAAAAACCATGGAGCCTTACAACTCACCTAAAGGCCTACATCTACTGACTGCCATGAAAGAGAGGCGCACAATCACTGTCCCCAGAACTGGTTGGATGGGCATCCCTGAATTAACAGAGCAAGGCCTTGTAGCGCATCCTGTGCTGTTCTTCCCAGGACTAATGGTCAGGCCCTGCTGAACCAACTGATGGTAAAGAGTTGAAAAACACAAAACAGCCCCTAATAGCCCCATATAATGCCTTCTACAGTGTATTAATACTTTGACTCTTCCCTAAGATCAGTGGTGAATGAACTGTCCAAAGTGACTCCGGTTTGTCTTAAATTATCCAACTGCTCCCCAGACCCCAATTGTTCTAATCACCAGAACTCTTGAGCCTCACTGCCACTCAGTGATGGAATTTTGAGTGTGGCTTAATAAACCCAATCATGTTCACTTTGTTGTAGAGATCTTTCGGGCGTGAAACTGCTCTCAAACTTTAAAACTAAATGACTCTAGGTCTAACCAGCACTGAGTTCTCTTTCCCTGAGTCTTACACTACAATGGAGAATGAACAAAAAGAAAAATCTTGGAAGTCACTGTCAATAGAAGCACAGCTAGTGAGTAATACTTGGGGAAATACAAAGCTTCAAGGACTTAAAGCATCACACACTTCTGAGAGATGAGCTTCGACAACAAAGACATGAAGGACAGACCTAAAGAATGACTCCCACAGTGTCATGTTCCAGGTGATGGGAAAGCCTACCATTCTGGGGGACATTTGGACCTCAACCCTGGCCCCAAACCCCTCATTCCTACACACCTGGCTGCACGTTGGCTGCTGCTTGTCTCTTCACATCTGAAGAGTCTTGTCTTTGCTCCAGAAGTGTCACCAGGTGTGGCTTAGACACAGCAAGACCTATTTGTATAAAAAAGGAACAAGACTGTTTATGTGTTCTTTTACTTGGAACTTCCAGTCCATCATTGTACAAGCCTCTGAATGTCTATGGTCAGCCAGTGGCTAGCATCACCCTCTGACTCCAAGCAAGCTTTATTTGTCAGAACACAATAAAAATATCACACAACATGAGGGTGTCAGATATTGGGATTACAGACAGTTGTGAGCTGTCATATGGGTGATAGGAATTGAACCCTGATCCTCGAGAACAGCAGTCAATGCTCTTAACAACTGAGCCATCTCACCAGTCCTGAAATGATTTTTAATACAGCAATCTCCTTAATTTTTCTGAAAACAAAGGATATGAAAATGGCTGTTGAAATGCTCCCATAAGATACCATACAAAGTGAGGAAGCTACATGTTGATGGTGAAATAAGAATTCACTATGGATGAGAGCCTCACCCAGGAACACAAGGTTGCTGTAATTCTCCAACATCACATCCCTGTACAAATTCCACTGAGCAGGCTCCAGGCATTCCCTCTCTTCTGCAGAGAACTCAATGGCCACATCCCAGAAGGACAGCATTTCCTGAAATAAAGATAAATAAATGATACTGCACTTTAGTTTAATTAAAACCATTAATAATATTAATATATTAACAGCAATAATATATTAATGTAAATATATATAATATAAAGAGAATAGAGACTGGTCCTAGAGTCAAGCCTAAAACAACAGAATGGACAGAGTAGATACATTAAGAACTGCTGCATCTCCTGTCAGTATCCTCAGAGACACCTTTTCAGAAAATCAGAAAAAACTGAAGATTGGTGGGAAGTCCAAGCCAGATGCAAAGGGAAGACTGGATTCCTGATCAGGTTCCTAAAGTAGTGACCTTCCACTCAGAGCAGCCTACGTCCTGATCAAAGGACATAGTGCTTAAAATACACATTACACACATCATCAAGTCCCAACTCCTAGATCTCCATCCAGGCTCTATACTTGCATACATGTGGCATGAAAAACTCATTGATTTTTGCCTTAATCCACCATATATTGCAATATATAACTCAAAAAGTGGAATAAGCCATGAAAACTGTGGAGACCAAATGTAGTAGCTGCTCTGGAAACATGAATTACATATTTATAATTGAAACTTCAAAATACTATCGACAGCTTTGCCTATTACATTAGATGTCTAGATGTATTTGTGGATTTTAACAGTCCATGTATTGCTTCTGAGTCTTCCTAAAGTACCAGTAGCGGAGTGTAACCCATAATGATTTGGGATGTTCATACTTAAACGCTTGACTTAATTTCATATAGATAGTGCAAAGAAGAGAACAAAGAAATGCAGATATTCAAAATGATAGTCATGGAACCACATACACATTTCAATCAAACATGCTGCTGCATTTGATAATGAGTATGGAGGACACTATGGCAGCCACTTTTATAACCTTAACTGACAATGTAATGAAAATCTGTGCTGCTCAGGTTTATTCCTGGCATATGTGTTTGACCCCTGTTCAAACCTTGCAATGTCTCTCCATGGCCTCTGACATAGTCCTGTAGATCAATCAGCAGGAACTGAACGTCCTCACCCAGCACACCTCCCCTCCAGAGTTTTCCAGATATGACATGTCTAACACAGCAGGGTTCATTCATGAGTTGTAAACACAAGGAACTCCCTCCCTCACACTGACATTAGAATACAATGAAAGACGCCTGGGAGGAAAGAGACAGGACTGCTCAACAAGGGGACCTAGACTGGACCTGTGAAGAGCAGGAACCAACATTAGCACTTTGCTTTACTGGTTGGATATGGCAGTGCCCATGTGAAGGACAGGGAGGAAGTGGTTTTGTTCTGGCTCACTGTAAGAAGCATCTGCACACAGTGGAACCTCTGGAGTAAGGACAGGGGAAGGCATCCCAGCTGCAGCTGCAGAAAAAGACCCAGGAATGTAACCAGAGCAGCCACATCAGTCAAGAACTGCAGAATGGAAATGAAGAAATAATGGAGTCTCAGATTAGATATGAAAGAAGCAAACTAAACTGGAAATAATCAGTGAAACCAGAAGAAATCAGCATCAGGTCATAAAAGTGACAAACAAAGATTAATGTCCAAAAAGAATGAACAATCACTACAAACAGGAATATTTAAGCAGGGCATTGAGAATTCTTCCTCACAGTAAAGGCAAACAATTATCTAATCTCCAAAAGTTAATGTCTTCAACAACAAAAAAAAGTATGTTAGTGAAAAAACATTAAATTACATATGAAATGTGTCAACAGAAGTTAAAAACAAATAGTTCTTAAGTCAGCAATGTGCTGATTGCATGGATTTGTCATGGTGCTCACTGTAAGAAACATGAAATGAACACAGAAATTATTTCTCATAACCATGAAGTTAAATGGTTTGAGACACAGAATCAGGTATCCTGGGCACCCTTGAATTTTTGGTGAAGCATGGGAGGATCAGAATGTCCTGTCTCCCCTTCACAAATGAGGAGATGACAGGGATGTGCAATAGAGTAGACTGAAGTTTCTTTTCTATCACAAGTCTGTTTACTTTAAATCACATGAATACACACAGTCTGTGAGTTCTTCCTCACCCTGCTGACCTGACACAAAAGCCTGGTACTGGAACCCAAGGCCTTGAGAGTTTTTGATCTGTTCCTAGACACCCTGCTTATGGACTAGCTCAACACTTCAAGACAAGATCAAGACATGTTGACACAACCACTGTGGTCCACCCTACAGGAGGAATGGAAGACCTTTCAAAGTTAAGAAAACCCAGTCCAAAAATTGAGACCCGGAGACATCTTCGCCAGAACCACTTCTTCCTGCAGTTGATGCCTCTCTCTCTGTACAGGCTGTGTGTTCTCTCACCCCAGTCAAAGCTTTTCCAATGCAGCGGATTCTGGCAGATCTGTCGACTGGTTCCAGAATTTCCCACATGTGAACTTTGTTTCACCTCGAAATTTTTCTCTATAATTCTCAAACTGGCAGAGATCATAATCAAGACTTCAAGACCGTTACACTAGGCCGGCTACAGAGTTCAGGAAGGACCAGACCCCGTTTGCTCTACAGATTCTGAGAAATCTGACAGCATCCATGTGAGAACGGCACAGCTAGAGAAGCATGCTTCCCCGCCAAAGCTGCTCACTGAATTCCCAGCTCCACCTCAGGAGCAGGCAGTCAGCTGACCGTCATTAGTTTGCAATTCTGGACTTGCACTATCATCTACTCCGCGCTACCAGGCAGCTCTCCTGACCAAAAGCCAAAAGTGGCAAGCGGCTTCCTAAAGAAATCACTCAGGGCACAGTCCCTATCGCCCTCTCCCCAGCCCTGACCTGCAACCTCTAGTGATCCTGCCAATTCAGCACAGCAGCCATGGCAGCTTCTTGCGCTCTCTCACCGAACCCAGATCAGCTCCCTCCAAGACGGATCCCCGCACCCCGCACAGTGCCTCAGGCTGCGCTGCACCCTGGACCAACCTTGAGATCAGAGACGCAAGAGGAACGTACAGCAGGCCGGACTCTCGCACAACTTTGGGAAAGTTGCACACCGTTGAACTCAAGTCCGGGAGGGAATTTCCTGGATGGCTCGCCGTGACGTCACAGTGCCGCAGACTACATTTCCCAGAAGTCTATGCGAAAGAATTGTGGGAACCCAGGTGTGGCCTCTCCCCCTTTGTGAATTCCAGTTTGGCTTCCTGCTGGAAATTATTGGAGGAAGAAGCTGAGTCAGCAGGACATCCCTGGGGCAGGAGCCTGGTGTTCACCTCCAGATCCACAACATAAGAAACATGAGTGTGAGTCGAGCCTTTGACAGGAATATTAGCCCTGTAAAGTTATGGCCCATATGTTATGATTTGAATCTTACTACAGCGTTTAAAAATAAACACGTTGACACTGTTTTACTTTAAAGTAATGAAGCAATACACTAATGTGGGAATGAGAAGTGCCTTTTAAAGATGATTTTGAAACCAGCCGTCATCTGTCAATCCTTGCTCCTAGCTGCTCTGCGGTTTCCTTGACAAATGGACCAGAGTTGATGGTCTGGACTGGGAAATTTAAAGAGACCTTGTATCTAAGTAAAAAGGGAAAGTCAAAACAAAACAAAATGAGCCGGGCGGTGGTGGCACACGCCTTTAATCCCAGCACTCGGGAGACAGAGGCAGGCGGATCTCTGTGAGTTCTAGGCCAGCCTGGGCTACCAAGTGAGTTCCAGGAAAAGGCGCAAAGCTACACAGAGAAACCCTGTCTCGAAAAAACAAAAAACAACAACAAAAAAAAAAAAAGTAACAAACAAAACAAAACAAAATGAAACAAACACATGTGAAAGTATTTGAGTATAAAGTCGCCTTTGTCTGAATATGCTGTCCTACGAATAAGTAAATAATAAATAAATAAATAAATAAATAAATAAATAAATAAAAAATCCTGTTCCTCTGCACTGACACTCTGTGTGAGCCATACATGGGTCTGACTCCACAGCTTTTAAAACAGTTTTGTGAGAACATTGGAATCTCTACAGTGTATTGATGAGGGACACAGTGACTGTATAATCAATGAATAAAGTGAAATGTCCACCTCTCTGATCTTACTTGCAAAGATCTCCCATAATCCATCTCAGGAGTTTTCCACCTGTACTTCTTTCCTTGAAAACTTTCAACTAGTAATCTCTGTAAGCCATTTAGTTTTTGTGAGAGCTCTACTAGAATTTTACCAGTGTCTCCATGGTTTTTCACAAACTCAGGTCCATATTCACCACCTGTGTGCTAGGAGCTCATGCTTACCTCCCTAGTGAAGGGTCACTGGTCCTGGGTCATTCACTCAGGACTGAAGCACAGATAGTTTAAACTATCTAAACAGTCCAGTTACCTATAGTTGAGTCAGGAGTATATGGTGGGGTTCCAATTCCACTTAGCGATCACCATGGTCCATGAAGTGTGACCTCACAGGGACAGTTAGGAGGGACACTGAACATCTGACCAGTTATATGGTGAGGCTGATCTCTTTAATAGTGCTGCAGAGAGTCATGGTGACCTCCAGGGTGCACTTCCTGTCTACACATCTAGTACAATGTAGACAGTGCTGTCATGTTCTGCTATCTTGGGACAGTGTCAGCCCCATCGCACAGTTTCCTTCTACTTTGGGTGCTGACCCTGGAGAAACTTTCCTAGAAGTACAGATTTGAGTCTGAGCTCCTGCAGTGGTCTTCAACTTGCAAATGAAATTGCACTTTCTCCAGACAGAGACTTCCACGGATGTGCTCTTGGTTCAGAGCACATTTAGGTGTGGTCAGTACAAAGTGCCAGGTGTGCCCATATTAGAGTTAATCTCTCTGACAATTACAGCTGATTTCACATGGTCTATAACTTTAAAGTCACTGTGGTTTAGAATGAGAAGGACACATAATGGTCGCTACAATAGATGGACCAAGGGTTGGCCCATCTTGTCCTGATTCCAATTATGCTTACTTGAACACGTCTCAGCCCTATAAACTTCTTCCACGTACATGGATTCTGCTGTTCATCAACCATGTCTTAATGACTGTGGGACAAACAGTTTTCTATATCACCCCTCCTTCTTGTTTGCAGTCTCAGTTTCTGTCTTCCCTCTATATATTGTTTATCCTGTTACACAGAAATACATTGTTCAGTAGCCTCAGTATAGTTTCCCACATTCTGCAATATCTGTCAATTCCTGTGGAAATTTTCTCAGTTTGGGGACTTATAAAAGCATTACTCTTATACATAAGGCTGTAAGTTGACCTATAGTCCTGTAACATATTATAGTCAGAATCTAATTTGTGTAAGACAAAATAGTCATTTCCTTAGCCATACATAAGAGACCAGCCTATCACAAATTTAAGGACAGATATGGGTCACATGACAATGATCCCTCTTCAGTGTGTGATGTAATTAAGTAGGTGTGGGCCAAGTCCATGTGTTTATTGATTTGTTCTCACTCCCAGTGTACTCAGAGTGACACTGATCACTCTTTCAGTTGTTCTGATCACTCAGAATGTGCCTCCTCCCTCTTACTATAATCTCTTAAGTTCACAATGAACCAAAACATGTTCCAACTTACAGAATATTTGCCAATCCCAGGACCTAGTGGACTTTTAGTTTTAGCACAGTTGATCCTTTCTGAAATGCATTATTCATCATGTCATCTTGATAACAGCTCCCATCACTGAACCATACCTAGTATGTAGTCAGTTATCTCACATACTCATGAGGTCACAAGGCTTTGCTGAATCTCTCTTAAGTGTCAAGTGACCTAAAAGGTGTGTATTTGTCTCCAGGTGTGCTGTGAGCTCATGTTACAACCTGCTCCTCTCCAAAGTGGAGGGACACAGGTCCTGGCTCAAACATGAGTGTATAATGACACCTCACCTTTATCCATTGCTGGAATTCCCTCTGCAGAGATTTCATCTGCTGTGTGCAATTTCCTCCTCTCTGATGCTGAAAGGATTCCTATGTGACAGTATTTTGATATTCATGGCTTCTGCCTTGGATTTACCTCAGTTTCTCAAAATCAGGACACAAAACTTATTATTTCTAAAATACAAAGATATCAAATAATCTTATTGGAATTTTACAATCAAATACCCTACTATACACCATAACCTCTACCCTGGCAGCCTCTGAGAGTTTCACTTTCACCTCTTATTAAGAGAGGAAATCTATTTCTCTATGTCCGTTTAGACTCTAATAATCAGAAGACAGTCAAATTCCAAAGTCTCTTGACTCTGTAATACAAACAACTGCTTATCCCACAGTGCTTACAAGATTATGGCTTCAACATGCCTTGGGACAGTGGTCACTTGACATTCCAGATGGAGGAATCATCATCTAACAAGGAAATGTGAGAATAAGTGAGACAGAAATGCAGTGGGAGATTCCACATCTTGTTACATCATGCACATGGCAACTGAGGATCCTGATTGAAGTTATGTGGACTCCAAACAATTGTGTCAACTCAAACTTTCTATCTCTGTGCTCTGAAGAACAGATAGTCTTTGTCTAGACTTTGATATGTTTTTGTCATGAGTACAGGATGGATTTCCAAATACAACTTAGCTATCATCTCCATGTTTCATTGTGAATCAGTTCTCTTTAACTCTGCTGCAAAGGTCCATGTTGACCTCCATGTTGCACCTCAGTGTCTACAGAGGTAGTACAATGTGGACAATTCTGCTTCAATCTTGGGATATGGCCAGAGCCCATAGCAATGTTTCCTTTGTCTCTGGGTTCTGACACTAAGAAACGTTCCTAGAAGTGTAGTTTTGACACGAACATCTACAATGGTCTCTCATCATTCAAGTGAAATTTCACTTTCACAAGATAGAGATTTCCATGAATATGGTCTTGGCTCAAAGCACATTTATTGTTGGCTCAATGTCAAGGACTGTCAATATTGACCTTAATCTCTCTGACAATTACAGCGGATGTCCCATAGTCTATAAATTTAAAGTCACTGTGGTCTTAGAATGAGAATGGCACCTATAGGCTCATACAATGGAAGGCTTGGGCACCACTTGGTAGGAACTGTTTGGGAAGGATTAGGAGGTGTGGCCTTGTTGTAAGAGCTGTGTCATTGAGACTGGGCTTTTTATATAGTAATTGTGAGCTATTCCCACTTACCTTTATCTACCTCCTATTGTGGATAAATATGTAATTTCTCTGCTACTTCACAAGGACCATGCGTGCCCACCGGATATTATGCTCTCCAACAGGGGATATATGCACAATGAAACAATGAGCCACAGATTATGAATGTATTGTCTCACAAAAATTAAAAAGACACTACATTCTGTGATTTTTCTAATGAAGAAGAGAAAGAAAGTTTACTCATGTCACATCAGGCTGTAATGAAAAACACAGTAAAGATTCTACTATACTCCATATTTCCAGGAATCAGTGAGTTTATTCTGGTTACCAACAGGACAATTGTGTGGATATCGCTCTGTATAAATAAAACACTGACTGGCCAGTAGGCAGACAGGAAGTATAGGCGGGATTAACAGAGAGGAGAATTGAGGAAACAGGAAGGCATTAGGGAAGACTGCAGCCACTGCCGGGACAAGGAAGATGTAAGGTACCAATAAGCCATGAGCCGAGTGACAAAGTACAGATTAATAGAAATGGACTAAATATAAGACTAAGAGCTAGACAATGATAGGCCTGAGCTAATGGCCAAGAACAGAAACAGGGAAAACTCATATACAGGTGAATCAGCAGTACTAAAATTCTGAACTCTTTTTACCTGCATGCCTACAACTCAGTGCATGACTTGCAGGCAGCTCCACTGATGATCAGTCTCCTGTAGATGTAACCAACCGTCTTATTAAATAAGAAACACAGAAACAATGTAAAAGAGAAAGCCGAGAGGTCAGAGCTCAGAGCTAAAAT